TAAAAAAATAATCTAAAGATCTGTTTTAAGTATTTCAAACGCATGATTTGTCATCAAATATATATATTTGTATGCCTACACACAATATAAATATTTATTTATAAAACATTGAATTAAAAATAACAGGCCTGGGAACGATGAACTTATAAAATAATATGGATGCTTAAACAGTGTATATTTTTAACAAATATATATTTTTGTTTTGATAAGACGTACAATCACAACTATTTGTTTTCCATGCTGTTTTCAATGACCCACTTAAATTGACCGCAAGTATGAGATATAGTTAAAATTTTTATTTCGTTTGACAGAAATGAAAAACTTCAAATGAAATACGCTTATCGGAAGTATAATCGTCATAAAAAAAAAAAAGAAAAAATGCAGTATTCGTTAAGCATTATATTTATCAGACTTACGAACGTTTTTAAATTATGGATGTTGATAGCAGCCTTGTAATTCGAGAAAATAAAAATAGCGATGCAACGATTGTACGTTTTAATGTTCGTAAGAGAATGATTTTTCCTTTAATGAGAAACAAGAAGTGTCAATATTGCATGGTTACCCTTACAGAAAGAAAGTCTTTTGTAATTAATTGCATGCATATACGCACTTCTCATTGCAAAATTAATGATAGCTATCGTCAGAAGTGTAAGCACCATATCTGATTTATTCACGATCAAGATTTTACTCTTTGTTCCAAAAATAGAAATTTCCAGATATAATTCCCTCGACTGCTGTAACGATTTTACATTATTCTCGCAATTTTTACCGTTTAAGATGATCAAAATGTAAAATGAACATCAATATACTATGTAGTAATAAAATTAATAATTATTAGCTACGATCAGTAACTCATTAAATCACGCGATACCGTTTCCTTTTTGTGAAGAGCAGGGCATACAAAGGAACTCGAGGTCAATAATCATAAATCTCCTGCTATTGTCCCCCCCGCCCCTCCCAATGAAAATTCCGATATTAAAACCCTATCTGCGTATATATACTTGAAGTAAAGCGTAGTGTTTATGAAGGAAAAAAAAAAAAAGAAAAAGATAGCCGTCTGCGCGGAATATGAAAATGTTGTGAAAAACACGTCGTCGGTGTAATGACGCGACTCGAGATAACGGACCCGCAAACAAGAGCTCTGCAGACGTGTGTTCAAGTAATGCACTTTTACGTCACGAGGAAACACACGGCACACCGAAAACAATATACACCGCAGCATCCGAAACCCCCCGATCTGTCGCGTAAACGAACAAACGCGCAACAGCGGCCGCGTGGTGACCCTATACCTTCCTGCTCGACGTGAACCTAGGCTCGTACAGCACTTCGCTGCGCTCGGTGTAAATTTTAAATAGAAGAATACATCAGAATTTTAATAGATGTAACCACACTGTTTGACGGAGCATTTAATTCCAAGATCTATTTTAATGCTACTGGTATATCTGTACAATTTTATCTCTAAAATTAGGTATTGAGTAAAGTAATGTTTTAACCTTCATCTAGAGCTTTTTATCATAGGGTGCCAATGATCCATCGTCAAAAGAAATATTGTATTACGTAGAATTTAAATTTAATAAAAAAATAATCTAAAGATCTGTTTTAAGTATTTCAAACGCATGATTTGTCATCAAATATATATATTTGTATGCCTACACACAATATAAATATTTATTTATAAAACATTGAATTAAAAATAACAGGCCTGGGAACGATGAACTTATAAAATAATATGGATGCTTAAACAGTGTATATTTTTAACAAATATATATTTTTGTTTTGATAAGACGTACAATCACAACTATTTGTTTTCCATGCTGTTTTCAATGACCCACTTAAATTGACCGCAAGTATGAGATATAGTTAAAATTTTTATTTCGTTTGACAGAAATGAAAAACTTCAAATGAAATACGCTTATCGGAAGTATAATCGTCATAAAAAAAAAAAAGAAAAAATGCAGTATTCGTTAAGCATTATATTTATCAGACTTACGAACGTTTTTAAATTATGGATGTTGATAGCAGCCTTGTAATTCGAGAAAATAAAAATAGCGATGCAACGATTGTACGTTTTAATGTTCGTAAGAGAATGATTTTTCCTTTAATGAGAAACAAGAAGTGTCAATATTGCATGGTTACCCTTACAGAAAGAAAGTCTTTTGTAATTAATTGCATGCATATACGCACTTCTCATTGCAAAATTAATGATAGCTATCGTCAGAAGTGTAAGCACCATATCTGATTTATTCACGATCAAGATTTTACTCTTTGTTCCAAAAATAGAAATTTCCAGATATAATTCCCTCGACTGCTGTAACGATTTTACATTATTCTCGCAATTTTTACCGTTTAAGATGATCAAAATGTAAAATGAACATCAATATACTATGTAGTAATAAAATTAATAATTATTAGCTACGATCAGTAACTCATTAAATCACGCGATACCGTTTCCTTTTTGTGAAGAGCAGGGCATACAAAGGAACTCGAGGTCAATAATCATAAATCTCCTGCTATTGTCCCCCCCGCCCCTCCCAATGAAAATTCCGATATTAAAACCCTATCTGCGTATATATACTTGAAGTAAAGCGTAGTGTTTATGAAGGAAAAAAAAAAAAAGAAAAAGATAGCCGTCTGCGCGGAATATGAAAATGTTGTGAAAAACACGTCGTCGGTGTAATGACGCGACTCGAGATAACGGACCCGCAAACAAGAGCTCTGCAGACGTGTGTTCAAGTAATGCACTTTTACGTCACGAGGAAACACACGGCACACCGAAAACAATATACACCGCAGCATCCGAAACCCCCCGATCTGTCGCGTAAACGAACAAACGCGCAACAGCGGCCGCGTGGTGACCCTATACCTTCCTGCTCGACGTGAACCTAGGCTCGTACAGCACTTCGCTGCGCTCGGCGGGCCCCTCCACCCGTCCGAGGGACGTCGCGGCACCCCCGGCGAACAAGGCCTTCAGGCCGGCGGTGCCCACGACCTCCTCGTAAGTCGGGAGCGGCAACTCGTCCCGGTAGGCGCGACCCTCGCGCTGCTGCTGGTGATGCTCCGATGAGCCACCGAACCCGTGGCGCGACATCTCCGCGCCGCCGCTTGGCGCGAGTGTGGGAGTCTAGCGCGCTATACTGACGCGAGTGTCACTGCCAGTGGCCGGGACGTGGTTCAGATGCTGCTGCGGCGGTTCATTAATTTTACTAAAGTGTCGGGTGATTATAGAGGCAAACGAGTGGGGACTCGCGTCGATCTCGAAGCAATGTGCGTATGTGCGCTTTACAAACCCAAACCTTTGTACGCGGGTTATTGGGTTATTGGTATGGCCATTTATGAGGTTTTTTAATTCAATGCCGGTGGAAATGCGTGTTGTTTTTTCTGATAAGCTTCACGAGGGAAGTTTCAGAGTTTTACAGTTTTTATGAAATCAACCTCCTGTATGTTTCTAAGCTCGATACTGATGTCTTGCCAAGTTTCCAAGTCCCGATTGTACAATGATAGCTCAAGCAGTGCAACTTGTGATGTAATTTATATTTTTTCAGATGGCAAAGTTCAACTGTTCGTGCCTGAGCAATGTTTTCGAAGCGATTAATTTGGGCACGTCTTGTGTGGAGCTACAGTATCAATTAATGAAAAATAAATTTTTCCTTCTTCTGAAAATTGAAAAAAGAGCAAACCCAACTCGGTCACTCGCGTCATTTTTACTTGCCTGGGTGACTTACATAATATATCCGTACAGAAATTGTCTACTGTGCTCACTTGTTCAGTAATGTGCTATTATTTTATTATTAATATATACAAACTATCGGTTGTTTCAATGTAGGTATATTTTACTGTACATCTATTTTTGTTTTGATAAGACGTACAATCACAACTATTTGTTTTCCATGCTGTTTTCAATGACCCACTTAAATTTTTCCAAATAAATTGTAGTTCTAAGGTTTTTTTTTAAATGGGCGAAGAACAGCATGTTTTAGAGAGTATTTTGAAGTTTTTAAATAGTACTTTCACTTTTGCTTTTAAATAGTATTTACTGATAAATTTTAATGAAAGAGTGAGTGTAAGCATGATTTTATTAATTCAACTAGAGCGTAAAGTATGAGTCTTCATGAAATTTATAAAAATTTTGTTAAACTTTTATTCAACGAATTAAAGTGCCCTCATAACATTAAAAATCATAATATTCAACAGAAAGTTTCCGAAAATAGATTTAAAAAATGAAGTTTAATTTTCAAACATCTGCAGATAATTCTGGTCTGCGTTTTTTACATTGATAATGACTATGTATGACTGTGTTTTGCTAAATATTTTTGAATTAAATGTAACTATTTACAGTCTTCGGGATCAAATCTGTGATTGAATAAACTTTTATAGGTTAAGATTTTGTTTTCATTTTTGTTTATTATGCATTTTTTGAGCAAAACCTAAAAAAACATCATAAGAACCCATGTTTCAATCACAATTTTCAACAAGCTTTTTCTCACAATTTTGACGTTTGATGCAATCAAATCAGCAATTTTTAGGAAAAATAACATCGTAATTTAATAAATAATTTCCAAAAATTTCAAATTAGGTTGTTGTCAAGGTGCTAAATTTTTACTGATACATTGAATACTAAGTATTTTAAGTTAACCGAAATTGTTTCGTTCAGGTTGGACAATAGTGCAAAAGTTAAAAAAAAAACTTCATTAATAAATATATTCTTATGATTTTAGTAGATAATTATTTGACTAATTCACAATTTTTCTACCCAAATCATGAGGAAACTATTAATAAAAATTCGACTTACTTTACTCCATTCATTTATGCGTTCCTGTATACTTTTTTCCCTTACAGTCTGTGATTTTTGTTCACTACTAGCTGACTTGACTTCAGTATTCTCTCCAGTACTAGTATCTTCATTTTTAACGTTAGTATTATCTGAATATGTTAGTTGTGTGAAAGTCTTGTTCACATTATCCAACAACCATTCCAACTTTTCTTTTTTAATATGCAGTATTTTCAATTGGTCCCGTAAATTTTCCAGACTTTTTTCCAGTTCTTCCTTATTATTTATTGTAGACTTGTAATTTTGAAGTAACTTGTTTGGTCCAGATGATCCCAAGAAATCTATAAACACATAACTATATTTAATATAACCATTCAAATAATAATTAAATTATAATTAATAAATAATACGTATACAGATCTTTTAGACTTAATATGGGAGATTATGGACTGTAACATTTTGTAATTTATAACAAAAAAAAGATGTTTTATATTATGGTATCAAAATTGTTTTCTAATTAAAAAATTGATTATTGTGATAGCAGTTTTTTACCATGAATCAGTTGAAGCAAATTATTTTTTTCGTCAACACATTTACTGTACAGAGAATCGAGATTATCGCCATCGAGAAATTCTGGAAGATAATTTTAATAAATATTTTTAAAATGTGTCGGTAAACTAATATGAACATTTTTTGATTAAAAAATGCTTCAAAATAAGCTTCCTTGCATATTTTGTACCTCGTTTTTACAAATCAATGATACAAATTAACTCGTACAAACGAATAATATAGTGTTTTAAAAAGACAAATTCACAACATACTAAATTATAGTTATACCTGAGGATATACTACTTGGTGATTGATGTGAAACGGTGCAACCTTTCAATTGGATGAAAATGATTAAAGCACATAGAGGAATGAGTATTAGTCCTATCAGCACAAGTACACTAGACTGAAAAAAATTCAAATTATCATAGTGTTTATAAAATTGTAAATATGTAGCATATCACTTTCCCAATAAAAAAGTTTAAAAATATACAGGTATTTTTCGAGTATAAACAAAAAGTAAGAAAATATTTTAGGTAAGAAACTGTAATGATTAAGTACCTGCCCACACTGAATTGTCTGGTTTTCTAAAATATTTTTGTGATAAAATTTGGTAATAGGATTCTCTAGAAAATTTTGTTCTCTTTGACATCGAAGTTTGTAAATGCTATTTTATACTTTTATCGCATAAATATTCATTTATCATCGGTCAAGAATTTTGAAAATCAAGAAAGCTAGGGTACAACGTATTGAATAAGAATTTTTTTTAGAAATCAAGCTTGTAAAAAAAAAAATTGGAAGAATAAAAAGTGTATAATGATTTTTTTTTCCTTACACTTGACGAAAAAAGTAAAGAAAAATTTGTTCAAGGTTTTCTAGCAAAAATAAAAATATAAGAATGTGCGTTTTTAACCATCACTTGAAAAATGTTTGATTAAATAAAAAAAAAATTTTTTTATATTGTAAATTTTAAATAGAAGAATACATCAGAATTTTAATAGATGTAACCACACTGTTTGACGGAGCATTTAATTCCAAGATCTATTTTAATGCTACTGGTATATCTGTACAATTTTATCTCTAAAATTAGGTATTGAGTAAAGTAATGTTTTAACCTTCATCTAGAGCTTTTTATCATAGGGTGCCAATGATCCATCGTCAAAAGAAATATTGTATTACGTAGAATTTAAATTTAATAAAAAAATAATCTAAAGATCTGTTTTAAGACTTCAGATTATTTTCTAACCAACTGGGCCTCGGTCGGTCCTTGATAAAAATA